TCAAGACCGGGGAAAGCCCATGCCAGGGAGAGTGGCCTGGTTACAGTAGCTGCCTGCCATGTGGCCAATCCCCATGGATAACAGCCAGAGTGACTTCAAATGACTAGGAGAGTTGGGACGGATAACCACTCTGTAGGGGGACCAGAAAGGGACCTTCTGGAGCTAGCTGCCACACTTCCCAATGAAGGGCACAGCTGCCCAGAAACAGAGGCCCAAGAATCGCTCTCCCATCATGGGGTACAAAACTAAGGGGCATCCTAGAAAACCAGCTCTTCCTATGCTACCCTGATGGCTGGGGCTGAGGCTCTGCAGGCAGAATGTCTGCCTACTATACACAAGGTTCCATCCTCAGCACAGCATAAACCAGCATGGTGCTGCATGTCTGTACTCCCAGCCCTGGAGAGATTGGGGGCAAGAGGATCTGGAGTTGAAGGTCATCAGCTACATTGTGTATTTGAAGTCAGCTTTAGCAACATAAGACTTTGTCTCAAAATATTAGTAACAATAATATAAAAATAACATCTGTAAAAATGTTGTTGGGTGTGGATGTGATCTAAATACATTGTATTCATATGTGAAATTACCAAAGAACATATAATTTTAAAAATACTGTTGACAAATACTTGCTACAAATCCCCTGCTCTAGAGACCCTTCTCTTCTTCAAGCCCTTCAGCCCACCAGAGGGACACCGGGCCATGGGCAGAGAAGTGTTGCTGCACAGAAGCAGGCACAGACAGGTCATAAGGCTAACTAAAGGCTATAGGACTGACCAGCACCTGTCAGACTCCAGAGTTTAGTTCAGGGCCCTTAGAGGACCCACAGAGATCTCTACACATTTGAAGCACTGTGGCGGGCGGTGGTGGCATATGCCTTTAATTCCAGCACTTGGGAGACAGAGGTGGAAGAATCTCTGGGAGTTTGAGGCCAGCCTGGTCTACAGAGCGAGATCCAGGACAGCCAGGGCTATTACACAGAGAAACCCTGACTCCAAAAACTTTAAAAGAAAATTCCCTCTGGTACTCTGACAAACCCTCCTTACAGCCTATGTACAAATTCATATCCTGGGGTCTGCAGACACAAGTTGGCTGGAAGCATGCAGGCTCATAATGAACAAGGTCAGTGTCCTTCAGCTTGACCAAAGCATTGAGGCCCCAAGAAGTCTCTACACGAGACCATCTCAAAACAAAACAAAAACAAAATTAGGAAAACAAGTACACGGAGGCAAATGAGAAGCCACAGGAAGTAAGGGGTGCTTAGAGTTTGGTTACAGAAAGTCAAGGAGTGCCTGGAGCCAATGGAACCTGCAAGAGGGGAATCTTCTTCTCTCCAGCCCAGAGGGAAAGTGGCCTTGCCGACACCTTGATTTCAGAGTGTGGCCAGGAAATGAGAGAGTATACCTCTACTGCTCTAAGCCACCAAATTTGTGGTCATTTGTTAGAGACCATTGGAAATCTACACACCCAGCTTTGACTTGCCTTCAGAACCCATATTTAACCACACCCCAAAGTCAGGAATGGTGGGTACAAGTCTATAATCCCAGCAGGAAGAAGTAGAAGAAGCATGATGTTCAAGGCCACCTTAGACCACACAGCAAGTTCAAGGCCAGCTAGCAAAGCACAGGATTATCTCAAAAATGGCTCAGTGGGTAAGGGCACTTGCTACCAAGTCTGATGAGTTTGATTCCCAGGACCCAGAGGGTGGAAAGAGTGAACCAACTCCTGCAAGTTGTCCTCTGATCTCCACATTCTCACTGTGACATGATATGCCCACACACAAACACAAATAAATAAATATATGTAATAAAAATGGGGTGAAATCTTCACACCACCCCAATGTCATTTTAGCCTAGAGCAGTCACGATCCCTTTGAGGGTCACATATCAGATTTTGTTGTTGTTGCTTTTCAAGACAAAGTTTCTCTGCGTAGTTTTGGTGCCTTTCCTGGATCTCGCTCTGTAGACCAGGCTGGCCTCGAACTCACAGAGATCCACCTGCCTCTGCCTCCCGAGTGCTAGGATTAAAGGTGTACGCCACCACCGCCCGGCACATACCAGATTTTTACATTATGATTCCTAACAGCAGCAAAATTACAGTTAGGAAGTAGCAACAAAATAATTTTATGGTTGGGGGTCACTACAACATAAGGAAGTGTATTAAAGAGTCATAGCATGAGGAAGGTTGAGAACCACTGGCTTTGAGGTTGAAAATTCTTTCTGGCTCCAAGAATATATCTGGGACTGAGGATTTTGAGAAACATATGACTTTTTCCTCAACATCATTTTACATATACATATGCACACATAGATGTGCATATATGTGTGTGTATATGTATTTCTGTATAACTTTCAACACTGTCATGATTTGTGGGAAGAAGAGAATCAGAGACTCTCAAGGAGCACAGGCTGGCTTGAACTTCCGCTGTTTCATCCACCTCACATGCGCTCAGGTTACAGGTGTATGTATAACCACTTGCCTTTCTGAAGACAAGACCTCATTTTGTAGCCAGGCTGCTCTTAAACTGAGCTCCTCCTACAGCCAGGCATGGTAGCACATGCCTTTAATCCCAGCACTTAGGAGGCAGAAGAAGGAGGATCTCAGCCGGGCGGTGGTGGCGCACGCCTTTAATCCCAGCACTCGGGAGGCAGAGCCAGGCGGATCTCTGTGAGTTCGAGGCCAGCCTGGACTACCAAGTGAGTTCCAGGAAAGGCGCAAAGCTACACAGAGAAACCCTGTCTCGAAAAACCAAAAAAAAAAAAAAAAAAAAAAAAAAAAAGAAGGAGGATCTCTGTGAGGCCAGCCTGGCCTATATAACTAGCTACAGGACAGCCAGGACTACACAGAAGGACCCTGTCTCAAAAACAAAACACTGAGTTTCTCCTGCTTCGGTATCCCAAATGCTGGGATACAGGTCCACATCACCACACCTGGCACTTCAGGATTGTTTTTTGGGGCTTTGGTGGTACTGGGGAATCTAACCTGAGGCCTCAAACTTACCAGGCAAATGTTCTACCTGAGCTCTATCCCTAGTCCATGATCATCTTTCGTATTTTTATTTCACTGCTGGGAACAGAACCCATATCCTCACCCATGCTGAGTCCGCAGCAACTTAGATAACTACAACAAAACAAGACCACAAACTGTCAAGATTCTCCTGGAATAAGATGGTTGTCTCAGAACAGAAGAAACTGGGAACTAACAATTATGTAAATATAATAAATTCTATAAATAAAGTGTTTTTGTCAAGTTCACAACCCAAGCCACCCAGAACTCTGTCTTGGTAACTGAGGCAGGATCTGCCCACATCACCCAAGCTATACTCAAGCTTTCAGTCCTACTTCAGCTTACCAAGTGTTGGGCCCACAGACTGGCACTACCACATCCAACTTCCCAGAACACTTTCCAGGGTAGGCCCTGGTACCTCCGGCTCGCTTAGAGGTCTGGGGTCCTGCAGGGCTTCGCTTCCTTACCAGTCCTAAATTCCAAATCTGTGAAATTCCCCTTTCCCCGAATGGTCAAGGAGATCCCAACTCTGCCCAAGCCCCCAAATGTGCCCCACTTTTGGGCACCAGACACACTCCTTTCTCCTGTGTTTTCAAAGTCAAGGCAGAGAGGAGAAGCAGAAGTGAACAACTGCTACACACATTTCTCTTCCCAACACTCCATTACCAAGGACGGGGGGGGGGGGGGGGGGGGGGGGAATTCCCACAGGCCAAAACCAATCCGGTCCTCCTTGGTGGCCCCTTAAGAGCATCCGTGAACGAAACCCTGGGAGACAAAGACCATGAAACAGAATAGCAAAATGCCAGTGAGGAATCGGCCAGAAGAAAGAGTAACAAGAGAAAGAATGAAAGGTGGAACCACAAAGCTTGGGGGGAGGGGTTTGCCCTTCGCAAACACACTGATTTTTCCCCCCTTTATTTCCCCCTCTGAAATGTCAGTTTTTGAAGCAGCTTCTGATAATGTCACCAGCTTCTCACGTCCTTAAAAAAGGAGACAGGAGGCGCGTGGCGACGGAGGTGGTGTTACCTCTTGACTTCCAAAGCCGGCCATCAGCAAACCGGCCTTCCCCTCTTCCACGTTTCCATGGGGGATGGGGGTGGGAATCTTTATCTCTGTCCCCAGTTCTAAAGTTTACCAATCGAGGTGTGTGTGTGTGTGTGTGTGTGTGTGTGTGTGTTAGTGGTGGTGGTGGGATCCCGAATCCCAAGTCCTCCTCCACAAGGGCGGCACCCAGTCTTCCTGGTGCTCCACACTGAAAGCCACTTTTCAAATGTCCGTGTGAGTGTGTAGAGGATGTCCCCTGAGATGAGATCCACAAACCACACCCGCGCGAGAGCCCTCTCAATCGTTCCCTCTCCAGTCCCTTCTGCATCATCCCCCCCCTGAATCCTCGGGGCCCCACTTCCTGCCACGCGCCCCCTCCCCCCGCAAATCTCAGGCCCCCGACTGTTTCCCGCGCCCCTCTTCGGGCTCCTCGGTCCCCGCGCACGCCTTCTTTGCCATCTCGCCGGCGGGCTGAGAGCCGCGTGCACTGGCTCGGCTCGATCCCCCCCCCCCCCGCCCACCCCCTCCCCCGGCGCCCGCGCTGCCGGCCTCGTGCGCCGCCGTCCCCAGGGTGTCCCCAGCACTCACGACTGTAGAGGGCGATGCCCGCCGCGTCTGGTCCAGCGCGCACCTCGAGGCGCAGCGCCTGCTGCTCCGCGTGCCGCTGGATCTCGCCGTTCGCGTCGCCGATAGTGAGGAGGCGGGCGCCGGGGAACACCGACACTGTCGCGCAGGGCCCCGCGCCGCCCGGGCCCGCCACCCCCGCGCTCCCCGCACCCGGCCCCACGGCCGTCGCTGCCGCCGCTGCCATCTTAGGTCCGGCTCCAGGCCCCGCCGCCACCGCCGCCACCGCCACCGCCACCGCCGCACCCGGGCCCAGGCCGCCGCCGCCGCCGCCGCGCAGGCCGAGGCCGAGGCCGAGCCTGGCAGCGCGCCGCCTGCCGGCCACGCGCCGCCTCGCCGCCGCCGCCGCCACGGGCCGGCTCGGTGGCGCAGCGCCACCTGCTGGCGCCTGAGGGAGCCCGGCGAGAGCGAGCACGACGTGGGTGGGGCCGGCCCCACCCCGCGGGAACGGTCGCTGCTTTGTGAGGTGGCTTAGCCTCCCCGGGACGCCGGGGCGAAGGACCCTACGTCGAGAGGCGGTGCTTGGCGCTATGGCACGCCCCCAGGGGTGCTAAGCTCCGCCCCGAGGCCGCGCCGCGTGAGAAGCGGCGCTTTGTGCCACAGCGCAGCAGCTCCGGAGAGATGGGCAGGGCATGCGTCAGGAGGCGGTGCTTGGCCTCTCGGGCACGCCCCCGGAAGGACCGGGAGGCCCCGCCCCTCCGGGCCGGCGTTTTGTGAACCACGGCGCTTTGTACCACCGTAAGCGTCAGGAGGTAGCGTTCGGCCGCTCGGCCACGCCCCCGGGGGCCACACCCCGCCCCCAGGCCGGCAACACGCGAACGACCGTGCTCTGTAGCACGGTGGAGTAGCTCAAGCAGGGTAGAGGAACTTGAGTCCGGGACCCGTGCCCGACTAAGAAGGAACGCCCCCTCGATGGCTGGGCTCCGCCTCTATGCCGGCGTCCAGCGAACGACACGCTTCGGGGGCAGTAGGTGCTCGGCCGCTAGGGTACGGCCCGCCGAGGGCTGGCCCCGCCCCCACAAGGGCCGCCGTTCGTCGCAAAATGCAGGCGCTCTGAGGGCGGGGCAGAAGCGTAAGTCAAGGGGCGGTGCTCTGCCTCAGGAAGGCCGGTCATCTCCTGGCCGGGGTCCTGGGCACGACCGCTCCTGGGCCTGGAGAAAGAAGAGTTTCCAAACTGGGCGCTCGGCCACGCCCCCACGCCAAGTCTCCGCCCCCCAGGTCTTAGCCGGGCGCTCCACCTCCTTCTGCTCTCCCTGGTAGGAAGAGCACCCGTGCTACGAGGGGGCCGGATTGCAGCACGCCCTCGCTGTGGCCCCGCCCCAGGCTGCACTGCTGGAAAAGCACTTTGAGCCCGCTCTGGACCTTGGCAATTCCCACTGAACTTTCAGTCTTTGAGGAAATTCTTCGGCTTCTGCACCAGGACCTCTCCTTTCCAGCTAACTCTCGGATCCCCCAGTAATGGCTAGCCTCTGTGTTCAACAGTGTCATCCGCTATTTACTTTTTGGTGAACTCTTTGGGACCTCTAATTTACTCCTGGTCCTTACGACCCCTTTGTTCCTACGTTCCTGGTCTCCACAATGCTCCATTCCCTTCCTGCACCTCCAGACTTTTCTCATACACCACATTAACTGAAGTTCAGTGGTATGGTTACCTCCAGCGTGGCCAATTCACCTTCCTCCCCAACCTCCAAGTCATGCAATCCCAAATTTAAAGGTTACCTGAGACCTTAGGGTTACTTTAACAGGACCTGTGCCAGCAGGACTAAACATACACTCAGCCCTTTCCCAAGCCCCGACCCCCAATGGTACAAGCTCATAATCTCAGGCAGAAACAGGATGATGTGATCTCAAGGCCAGCCTGAGCTACAAAGTGAAATTCTGTCACTAAAAAACATACACCCTGTTGGGCTGGAGTGGTGCAAGCCTTTAATTCTAGCACTTGAGAGGCAGAGGCAGGCAACCTGGTCTACATAGTGAGTTCCAGGACAGACAGGGCTACACAGTGAAACCCCGTCTCGAAAACAACAGCAAAAAACACCCCAAAGTCTGGCATGGTGGTATGCACCTTTAATCCCAGAACTCTAGAGACAGGCAGGTGGATCTCTGAGTTTGAGGCCAGCCTGGTCTACATAGTGAGTTCCAGGACAGCCAGGGCCACACAGTGAGACCCTATCTAGAAACAACAGAAAACATATAAAAATATAAACACCAGTCTGAAGGTCAGGTGCAGCTGGGGAAGCAGAGGAAAGAGGTACAGAATGTAGACCTCCTATGCCCAGCTGGACGTCCAGATGCAGGGGCGACACCTCTGGTGATCTACAGTCCAGGGAATCTACAAATGGGCTCTGGCTCTCCATCCAGCCTCTAGGCTGCTCCCCTGCCGATTCTTCTTGTCTTCTGTGAGGAAGGTCACACCAGGAGTCCCCTTCCTCTGGCCTGTCCATCTCCTTAGAAAGCCTTGTCTTGACCCCTCCCTACGCCGAGTCTCTGGGTAGATGTCCAGCTTCTGTAGCTTTCGGCAGTGGGACGGGGAGAACCGGATAAAGGGGTCCTCACTCCTGGCCTCACTGGCAGGCCCGGAAAGTGCTGAACTCAGGGAGCTCTGGAGAGGATGATGTAGAGGTGGGCCGCTTTTGAGGCTCGGAGTTGCAAAGATGTGCATCTGGGGTTGCCACCAAGTCTTCCTGAGTCATTTTCTTTGTCCATGGAAGAAAAAGAACTGAGTGATTTGGGGTGTAAGAACCTGTGAGTTCCTCCTATTCCAAGTTCTCAGGTATCCTCCACCTCTCCCCCCCACCCATATCCCAACCTTCAGTGGCTCTGCTCCTGCTACCTTTACTCTGCTGAGGAAGGAGGCCAGAGGCCTGTGCTCAGTTCCCACTCTGTCACTCCCTAGCAGCCTGACCTCACTGAGTGACAGCTCTCCTACGCCTTAGTTTCAGATGATAGTATCCATCTCCTAGGGGCACTGTGGGCCTGAAACAGAGAGGTCCATGAAGTGGATGGCACCAGTAAGCCAGCCCACCTTTGTGCTCACCCCTATCAGGGCTCCCCTAAAACCTTTCAAGAACTGAACCCAGCTGATTGAGACAGGTTGAGGTCCCTTCAGAGCTTTGGTTCTCCCTAAACATTGACCCTAGTAAGATCCCACAGGGTCTTTGTAAAAATAATAATAATAATAATAATAATACAGCAGGGCATGCCTTTAATCCCAGCACTCAGGAGACGGGCAAGCAGGTCTCTGTGAATTGAAAGCCAGCCTGAGCTAAAGACCCTATTTTTTTTTTCCCCAAGACAGGGTCCCTCTGTGTAGCTTTGGCTGGCCTGGAACTCTCTCTCTTGCTCTGTAGACCCAGCTGACCTTGAACTCACAGAGATCTCCCTGCCTCTGCCTCCCAAGTGCTGGGATTAAAGGCATGCACCACCACCACCACTGCCCAGCTGGTAAGACCATTGTCTTTTTTTTTTTTTAATATTTTATTTAACTTTATTTTATGTACATTGGTGTGAAGGTTTCAGATCTCCCAGAACTGGAGTTGCAGACAGTTGTGAGCTGCCATGTGGGTGCTGGGAATTGAACCCGGGTCCTCTGGAAGAAGAGCCAGTGCTCTTAACTGCTGAGCCATCTCTCCAGCCCCTAGTCTTAAAAAAAGAAAGATGCCAGGTCTAATAGTCCACACCTTTTTTTTTTTTGTTTTGTTTTGTTTTGTTTTGTTTTTCGAGACAGGGTTTCTCTGTGTAGCTTTGCGCCTTTCCTGGGACTCACTTGGTAGCCCGGGCTGGCATCGAACTCACAGAGATCCACCTGGCTCTGCCTCCTGAATGCTGGGATCAAAGGCGTGCACCACCACCGCCCGGCTAATAGTCCACACCTTTAATCCCAGCACTTGGGACGTAGAGGTGGGAGGGTCTCTGAGTTCCAGGGCAGCCAGAACTACATAGAGATCTTTCTCAAAAAATTAAATAAAATAAAATAAAATAAAATAGGGGCTAGAGGGCTGGAGAGATGGCCTTTCAGTTAAGAGCACAGACTGCTCTTCCAGAGACCCAGGTTCAATTCTCAGCACCCACATGGCAGCTCATACCTGTCTGTAACTTCAGGATCCAACACTCTCACACAGACATACATATAGACAAAACACCATTAAAAAAGAAAAAGAGGCCAGGCGGTGGTGGCGCACGCCTTTAATCCCAGCACTCGGGAGGCAGAGCCAGGCGGATCTCTGTGAGTTCGAGGCCAGCTTGGTCTCCAAAGCGAGTTCCAGGAAAGGCGCAAAGCTGCACAGAGAAACCCTGTCTCGAAAAACCAAAAAAAAAAAAAAAAAAAAAAAAAAAGAAAGAAAGAAAGAAAAGAAAAAAAATGGGATGAAACTAAGGTACTATGTGAGGTGGGAGAAATATATTGTTCATATGAGAATAGGCAAATCAAGAAAAGCAGGAAATAGAGCTTGAAACTTTTGGTACATGCCCAACCTAAGACAGGTATATGTGTTACAGTGTTTTATACAGCCCGGGGATAGTGAGGGGACAGCTACATACTGAGATCTGGTCTCAAATAAAAGCCAGTGAAACGTGACTCATATGGCAGAGTATTTGCCTAGTATGCAGGAAGCCCTGGGTTCCACCCCCAGCACCACAGAAACAGACTATAGTGCACACCCGTGATCGCAGCACTTGGGAGGTAGCTGGAAGATGCTCAGATGTTCAGGTGCATCCTCAGCAACATAGTGAGTTTGTGACCAGGCTGTCTGGAGGCAAGATCTAACCCAAACCTAACAATAGAAAGCCTTAGGGGCTGGACGGTTCTGGCTGCCCCTGGCTGGACAAACCTGCAGCAGTCCACCTGCCCTAAGATCCCCAAATGGTGGGGTTACATGCCCCGGCCACCAGGCCCTGCCTTCTAGGTTGATCTGCACAGTTCAGGGTTGGTCCAAGAGCTGAAGCTGCAACAGATGTAACAGGTCTCTCTCTCCCCCAGCTCCCTCCCTCCTTCTCTTTTTGTATGTGGGGCTGAGTATGGAACCCCTGCTTCGAACACACACACACACACACACACACACACACACACACACACACACACACACGTGCGCACGCACGCACGCACGCACGCACGGCTCTCATTCTACCCTGCAGCTGCGCTGGTCTCCAGCTTATGTTTCATTGTTTTCTTTTGTCGGCTTTTGCAACAGGGTTTCTCTGTGTAGCTCCACTGATCTAGAACTCATTTATAGACCAGGCTGGCCTCCAACTCAGGAATCCACCTGTCTGTCTCCTGAGTGCTAGGATTAAAGGTGTGTGCCGCTCTGCCCTCCTCGTTGTTTTAAGACAGGGGCACTCGGGCTGGTGAGATGGCTCAGCAGCTCAAAGCACTTTCAGTCAGACCTGGTGACCTGAACTTGATTCCTGGTAGAAGGAGAGAACAAACTCCAGCAAGTTGACCTCTGACCTCCACAGGTATGCTGTGGCACACACACACCCACACACCCTGCCTACACACACACACACACACACACACACACACACACACACAGAATAAAGTGTGGAGGGGAGATAGGGACTCTGTAGCCCAGGTTGACCTATACCTCACTGTGTAGCTCAGGCTAGTCTCAAACTCAAGGTAGTCCTCCAGTCCTCCTGCCTCCACCTCCCAAGTGCTGGGATTAGAGGTGTGAGCCCTACACTGACTTAACAATAAGCTTTTCTTATTGTCAGGAGGAGATGAGAGCACATCAGAGTGTCACAAGGCTCCACATAGGAACCTGAAGAGGCCATGGGTCACCCCAAACCCCTCACCATCCTTCTCATAACCAGCCCTAGACTTATGGGCAAGTCCTAGTTCTGTGACTCTGGGCTTCTTCCTGGTTCTGAAGCTCAGAGTCAGAGGACTCCCAGTGACACTTCCCCTCTTAGCTGGTCGGTCATCGGGAAACTTCACTAAGAAAAAGAGCTACTCACCGTGGAGATGGCAAACAGAGAGTTATCAAAGGACATGTCTGAAACAGAGAAAGCAGAGTCAGCACAGGGTGGCCTGCTGCCTCGCACCCACCTGCTCCTGTCCCACAGCCTTGACACCCAGAATCCACCCTGCAGAAGGAGTTGGGGTTCATCCTCCAGTATCCTCTCCTGCTCCTTTCCAGCCACCCCAGGGTGAGCTGTGAACATTCAGAGGGAAGGCACAGGTCTCACTGTGTAGAACAGGCTGGGCGGTGCTGTGGGATGTTCTGTATGGCAAATGTGTTGCTAATTAGTCAATAAATAAAACACTGATTGGCCATTGGCTAGGCAGGAAGTGTAGGCGGGACAAGGAGGAGAATAAAGCTGGGAAGTGGAAGGCTGAGTCAGAGAGACACTGCCAGCCGCCACGATGAGAGACAGCATGTGAAGATGCCGGTAAGCCACGAGCCATGTGGCAAGGTATAGATTTATGGAAATGGATTGATTTAAGCTGCAAGAAGCCTGCCACGGCCATACAGTTTGTAAGCAATATAAGTCTCTGTGTTTGCTTGTTGGGTCTGAGTGGCTGTGGGACTGGCAGGTGAGAGAGATTTGCCCTGACTGTGGGCCAGGCAGGAAAACTCAAGCTACAGGGTGGGGGCCAGTGAGATGGCTCAGCAGGTAAAGGCACTTGCAGCCAAGTTTGTTGACTTGATTCAATCCCCAGGACCCCTTGGTAGAAGGAAGAAATGATCCCTGCAAGTTGTCCTCTGACCTCACATGCACTGTGGCATGCTCCCGCACACACATAAATCATGAACAAGTCAATCGATAGACGAACAAGTCAATCGATAGACAAACGCTGCTGATCTCTTCCATGTGCTGATAGCTTGGGTGGTGTGGAAGTCTAGTACAGAGCCTGAGTGGGGATCAGGGGAGGTTTCCTGGAGGGGATAGCTTATACATTGAAGCTAGAGAGAGTGTTCTAGGCAGTGGGTAGAGCCAGTGTAGAGGCTGGAGACAGAAACAGAAAGTGGTAACCCAGCAGAAAGAATGGGGACAGTGTTTGGACCTCAAGAGCAACAGGATTTTGAAGCTTCCTTCACCCAGGGAAGCATCAAGGAGCGCGCGCGCAGAGGGCATAACAGACCTGTGTTGGTGAAGTTGATCTGAGCCCAGCAGGAGTCACGCTCTCTGCAAAGGGATTCAGAAGAAAGGATGCCCCGTGAAATAGGGCACTTGTTCAAGAACATCCCCCCAGCGACAGCTGCTATGGCTTGTGCTTACCACTTGCTCATCCCCTTCCCACAGCAAATACCTGCACCCTCATTTCCAGTCATTACACTAAGTGACAGCTCTCTGGCTATTAGCACCCAGGGACAACTCCAGGAAACGTCTAACATGGCACAGTAAAGAATGCCACTGCAAATACCTAGGTTTCTGGGACAATATTGTGGCAGCCAGCAGTGAGTTGGAGGTAAGGCAGCTGGGTTGCCTGGCCCCATGTGACTTGACTCCAGGCTCAGTATTCACATCTGGAAAATGGGGTTCATCTGGACTTCTGGGAGGAAGTGGTGAGCACTGGTTTTAGAACATCCTGACACATAGCAATGCTCAATAAATAATTCATGTTCCGTGCATTTATCAGCCCTCCCACCAGAGAACACCTTAGGGGATGAAGGTCTGCCCAGGGTCTGCCCAGCCAGTGAAGTGCTCAGAGACACCCTGGAGGGACTCACCTTTGCTTCTGTAAGTTTTTTATTTTAGCTGGAAGAAAGATGAACAAGCATTGGTTAGATTATTCTAGATCTGGTAGCAGCTGAGAAATGCCTACACCCATAAAACCAAAAGCCCCCTTGACCCCTGTGGAACCCAGCCTTGCCTCATCCACATAGATCTGCTACTAAGTACAAAAGCTGCTATAAACAGGTCTTTCCCAGTTTTGTTTTTTTTTACAGTAGTTTTGTTTTCTAGGCAAGGTTTCACATGTAGCCCTGGTTGTTCTGGAACTCACTATGTAGATTAGACTGTAGGTCCAGATCTGCCTGCTGAGTACAGGGATTAAAGGGCTGTACCAACGTGCCCACCTTCACTTAGTTGTCTGAAACTGTCCTGTATAGCTCAGGCTAGCCTGAACTCACTGTGTAGCCAAGGCTGGCTTTGAACTCCAGGTCCTCCTACTTCTACCAGCTAAATGCTAGAATTATGGGTGTGTGGCATCACCCTTGATCTGTTTCTTTGAGACAGGGTCCAGCCAGGGTTGGTCTCTAAACCACAGTCCTCCTCCACTGCCTTTGAGTTCTGGAATTACAGGTGTGTACTACCATGTCACCCCATACATTTTAGGTGGGTTTTTTTTTCTTTGTAAGCTTTATTTACTCTGTGTGTGCATGTTCTTGTATGGGTGTGGGTACACACACCAGAGGGCATACGCAGAGGTTAGAGGAAATCCTGTGGAGGCAGCTGTCCTGCCATGAGTCCCAGAGATCGAACTTACATAGGTATGCTTGGCAGCAAGCATCTTTGTCTGCTTAGCGATCTTACTGCCCCTTATTTATTTTTGTGCTTGACTTACGAGAGAGGTATGTTCCTTAAAAAAACAAGAACTCCAAGTTACCAGTGAGGTGGCTCACTGCTGTAATCCCTGCAAACTGAAAGCAGAGGCAGGAGGATTACCTACATTTCAAGGCCAACCTGATCTATATGGGAGACGGCAGGTCTTCAGACCAGCCTGGGCTCTGAAGTGAAATCCAAACAAACAAAATCTTCAAAATTGTGTAAACATGTAAAATTATTTTTCTTAAAAACTATGAATTTCAGGCTGGGTTTTAGGTAGTTGCACAGGCCTTTAATCCCAGCACACCAGAGGCAGAGGCAGATAGATCTCTGTAGTTCAAGGCCAGCCTGGTCTACAGAGTGAGTTCCAGGCCAGCCTGGTCTACACAGAGAAACCCTGTGGGGGGTGGGGTTTGAACCCTGGGCCTCATGCACATGAGACAAGCACTCCACACTGAGCTAAGCCTTAGCAACCTTAGGATGACAATATGACAGCAACCCCTATATTCCCACCAACTTGGCAAGTGGTGCCACCTACGAGTTCCAGGACAGCCAGGGCTACACAGAGAAACCCTGTCTCAAAAAAACAAAAACAAAAACATGAATATCCTGCTAGACAATTTCCAACACAAGCCTGTGGCCCTAGCACTAGGGAGGTGGAGGCAGGAGGAGCAGGAGTCCAAGGCCACCCTCAGCTATAAAGCAAGTTTGAGGCCAGCCTGGGCTATGTGATACCTGTCAAAAGTGGGGGTGGGGGCTAGGGTGGGGGTGTGATAGTGAGATGGCTCTTCAGGTAAAGACACTTGCTGCCAAGCCTGATGATCTGAGTTGGATCCTGGGAACCCACTTGGTGGAAAAAGAGAACTGAATCCTGCAACCTCCACACACTCCCCCATAATGGAAAGTAAACTTTGTTTAGAAAGAAGTCTCCATTGTTGCCAGGAGCTGAGGGTGAAGTGAACAGAGCCACTGCCTAATGAGCAGAGTCCAGAGCAGTGGTTCTGTGGGTTATGACCCTCAACAAACCTCTGTCTCCAAAAACACTTACACTACAATTCATAACAGTAGCAAATTACAGTTATGAAGTAGGAATGAAAATAATTTTATGGTTGGGTGCTGTGGGATGGTCTGTATGTCAAGTGTGTTGCTGATTGGTCAATAAATAAATCACTGATTGGCCAGTGGCCAGGCAGGAAGTGTAGGCGGGACAAGGAGGAGAATAAAGCTGGGAAGTGGAAGGCTGAGTCAGAGAGACACTGCCAGCCGCCACGATGACAAACAGCATGTGAAGACTCCGGTAAGCCACGAGCCATGTGGCAAGGTATAGATTAATGGAAATGGATTAATTTAAGCTGTAAGAACAGTTAGCAAGAAGCCTGCCACGGCCATACAGTTTGTAAGCAATATAAGTCTCTGTGTTTACTTGGTCGGGTCTGAGTGGCTGTGGGACTGGCAGGTGAGAGAGATTTCTCCTGACTGTGGGCCAGGCAGGAAAACTCTAGCTACAGTTGGGAGTCACCACAACATGAGGAACCATATTAAAGGGTCACAGCATTAGGAAGGGTGAGAACCACTGGTTTAGAGGATGAAAGTTCTAGAAACGGAGGGAATGCTTGAACACAAATGGGACTATGCTTTTGTTTCTGAGACAGCACCTCACGTAGCTCAGGTTAGCCTGGAACTTGCTAGATAGTGAGGCTGACATTGAAGTCTTGATCCTTCTGCCTTCAGTTAGTAAGAGCTGTGCCCAGGTGTGCCCACGGTGCCTTTTATGCAAGAGACTTGAACCGCCATCGATCTTGATGCCTCAGAGGGTGGTCCAGAAACAGGATAGTACCACACCTTGAGTACCCAGGGGTCCCATATGTCAGTCTCCCCTCCCTCCCCCTGTCACCTCCCTTTTGCTAGTGACCTGCTGCTGAATTCTGGTGAAAGAATTCCCCAGACTGACTGTCTCCGTGCTCCTGAAAACATGGATGAAAAGAAGCAGCCCTGGTGAGGTGCAGAGGTGACTCCAGCTAAGAGCACTGGCTGCTTTTCCAGAGGCCCCAGGCTCAGTTCCAGCCACATGTGTAGGAGGCACAGAAGTCCTCGTGCTCACAGATGAGCACGAGGGGAACCTGGAATATTACACACACGGGCTGGTCCTGCAAAGGAAGGGATGCATAGCCTGCTGTCTGCCCAGAAGGCTGGGAGCCGGTGTGGTTCAGACCACACCAGATCTTCCCTCAGACCCTTATCATGAGCTTGCTTTTCTCAGTCAATGTATAGAACCTATCTTTTTGGAAGGTGTCACATATAGTCAACCTGTAGAACCCATCTTAATGGAAGATGTCACATGTACTTTACAAAGAGTTTCAATGTCATTTCTTAAGCTTAATTGTGCACATGGAATTGAGTTAATTATCACTAGGAAATTTTTCACCAAATTGTGCTGTGCTTAACATGCCTAAAATAAACCACTTGGGGTCAGACTCCTGAAGTCTGAACCAGCATCGGCTGATTAGTCATGTTGAACTGAGCTGCCTTCTTCCTCCTGAAGATCATGATGACCCACAGCCGTTTGTAACTCCAGTTGCAGGGTATTCGGTGCCGTGCTTTGGCCTCTGGGCATTGTGTGCATGTGGTGTGTATTTATGCATGCAGGCAGATACCTATACACCTATAGGTATAGGTATACCTATACCCATAATAAAATGAAAAGATTTAAAATAAAACAGTTGTGGTATTGTCCATATGAAATTGTAGTACTTGGGAAGGTGTGGCAGGAGGATTTCAAGTTCTAGCCACACACACACATACCCAAAAAAAGGAAAGAAAAAAAAAATCCAGGAGTAAACAGGATTTCAGCATCAGCCTCAATGATGTGATCCTGGAGGGGGAGGAGAGGAGAGTGGGGAGGGGGAGGAGAGGAGAGTGGGGAGGGGGAGGAGAGGAGAGGGGGGGAGGGGGAGGAGAGGAGAGTGGGGAGGGGGAGGAGAGGAGAGGGGGGAGGGGGAGGAGAGGGGAGGGGGGAGGAGGAGGAGAGGAGAGGGGGGGAGGGGGAGGAGAGGAGAGGGGGGAGGGGGAGGAGAGTGGGGAGGGGGAGGAGAGGAGAGTGGGGGGGAGGGGAAAGAGACAAGGAGCTGGCCATGGTAGCACAATGCCTGCACTCCAAGGGCAGAAACAGAGGCAGTGGATTTCTGGTTTCCAGGCTAGCCTGGACCACACAGTGGTTTCAGGGCAGCCAGGGCTACATAGTGAGACCCTGCCTCAAAAACTGAAAGAGGAAGACTAAGAGCCATGTGGAGGCTGCCAGCTGGCCTTGTTTCCTGCATGCCCCATCACCTCTCCTGACCACTGGCCTTGTTTCCTGCATGCCCCATCACCTCTCCTGACCACTGGCCTTGTTTCCTGCATGCCCCATTACCTTTCCTGACCACTGGCCTTGTTTCCTGCATGCCCCATTACCTTTCCTGACCACCACGGCGACAGCCACCAGCCCTGCGAGGAGGAGGAGGATGGCTCCAGCCAGGCTCAGGGAGAGCACCATGATCCAGGTGGGGACTAGAGGGAGAAGAGAACGGACAGGTGAAGGAGCTGGGAGGGTATGGGAGGGCAGGCACCTGGGGGTACCTCCTGGAGCTCCACCCTCACCCAAGAGATGCCCCAGACAAGCATCTTGAGTGTAGGTGGGCCTGGAAACTCGAAGAGCCTTGTACATAGGCAATTAGCAACCAGTGAGGACTTCTGCTGGACCAGTAAGAAAGTTTCTTCCTTCTGGGGAAGAACCCCCATCCTAAGACTGGATTACCAAGCATTTAGAAAATTGAGGAGGAGGAGGAGGAGGAGGAGGATTGTGAGTTCAAGGCTAGCATGTGCTAGAGAAGTCAAAGCCAGCCTAGGATACAGAATGACCTACACAAACACATACGCGCGCGCGCACACACACACACACACACACACACACACACACACACACACACACAAAAGACAAAGTAAGGGGCTATATATCTCAGGATAGAAAATTCACCTAATGTAAGGAAGGTCCTAGGTTCCATCCCCAGCACCATCAAAAAGAAAGGATGGAGATTTAAATATTTTATTCCATTTAGTCTCTCTCTCACGCACGCAGGCACGCAGGCACGCAGGCACGCACGCACGCACGCACGCACGCACGCACGCACGCACCATAGTATGTGCATGGAGGTCAGAGGACAATGTGTGGGAGTTGGTTCTCTCCTTCCATCATATGGGTCCCAGAGATGGACTCAGGTCATCAGGCCTGAGAGCAAGTGTCCTTAACCACTGAACCATCCAGGTGGTCTGACAATGGACAAATGATCCATTGTTGTGTATAGTTAATACATGCTAATGAAAACATCATTTGTATTTTTATTTATATGCATGGAGGCTGAGAGGAGGCTTGTCTAGAGCCCACAGAGTCCAGAAAAGGGTGTCAGTTCCCCTTACACTAGGGTTACAGGCAGCTGTGAATTCCCTGACATGGGTGCTGGAAACCAAACTCGGGTCCTTTGGAAGAGCAGTCAGTCCTCTCAAATGCTGAGCCATCTCTCCAGCCTCCATGAAAACATTTTTAAAAAGAGCTCTGTGCGCCTGGCACAGTGGTGTACACCTTTAATGCCAGCACTTGGGAGGCAGATGCAGGTGGATTTCTATGAGTTCAAGGTTGGCCTGGTCTATAGAGTGAGTTTCAGGACAGCCAGGGCTACACAGAGAAAACCTGTCTCAAGGAGAAAGAGAGAGGGGAGAGAGAGAGGGAGAGGGAGAGGGAGGGAGAGAGGGAGGGAGAGAGAGAGAGAACGAGAACACTCTGTGTAGTCACAACCCTTAGGAGTATGAGGCAGGAGGATTACATTGAGTTTGAGGCAAGCCTGAGCTACAGTATGAGACCTTGTCTCAAAAAAACAATTTAAGATATTTTAGGGCTGGCAAGATGGCTCTGCTGGCTAGTTTCTTGTTGTTGTTGTTTTCCAGGCAAACTTTATAAACATACAAATAAAATATCATCGCCGGGAGGTGGTGGCGCACGCCTTTAATCCCAGCACTCGGGAGGCAGAGGCAGGCGGATCTCTGTGAGTTCGAGGCCAGCCTGGGCTACCAAGTGAGTTCCAGGAAAGGTACAAAGCTACACAGAGAAACCCTGTCTCAAAAAACCAAAAAAAAAAAAAAAAAAAAAAAAAAGATATCATCACATGCAGCTCTGTGTGCTTCCCCATGTACATTAACAGGTAGACTTGAACTCTAAGTTGCACAGATCAAAAGATATTTGACCAAATCCATGAGCAGAATAAAACTTGCTCTGATCCTGTTCTTTTTTTTTTTTTTTTTTTTTTTTTTTGGTTTTTCGAGACAGGGTTTCTCTGTGTAGCTTTGAGCCTCTCCTGGAACTCACTTGGTAGCCCAGGCTGGCCTCGAACTCACAGAGATCCGCCTGCCTCTGCCTCCTGAGTGCTGGGATTAAAGGTGTGCACCACCACCGCCCGGCTTTTTTTTTTTTTTTGGTTTTGATCCTGTTCTTAAAAGGTGTTCTAGATCAGAACTCTGGCTTTGCCATATCACTAGCTAAGCTTTGAGAGGACTGGCTTCCCCAGGGCTGGGAGGGCTTATGGGGGGGTGTCTGGGAGAGGATACAGCCCTCAGTTTCTAGTCAGCTGCCTGCCATGGCCTCTGCTGGCCAGTTTTATGTCAATTTGTCACTAGCCAGAGTCAGATGAAAGGAGGGACCCTCAATTGAGAAAATGGCCCCATGAGATCTGGTTGTAGGGGACTGGAGAGATGGCTCAGAGGTTAAGAGCATTGGCTCCTCTTCCAGAGGTCCTGAGTTCAATTCCCAGCAGCAACATTGTGGCTCACAACCATCTGTAATGAGATCTGGCGCCCTCAGGCAGAACACTATATAAATATATATATATAAATATATATATATATATATATTTATATATATATATAATACATATATATATTTAAAGATCTGATTGATTGTAGGGCTGGAAAAGACACATGCCACCACTGCCTGCTGTAGGGCATTTTCTTAATTAGTGATTGAAGTTGGAGAGCCCAGACCTCTGTGGATGGTGCCATCCCTGGGCTGGTGGTCCTGGGTTCTAGAAGAAAGCAGATTGAGGCTGGGTGGCAGTGGTGCATGCCTTTAATCCCAGCACTTGGGAGCCAGAGGCAGGTGGATCTCTGATTTCGAGACCAGCCTGGTCTACAGAGCAAGATCCAGAACAGCCAAGGCTGCACAGAGAGACCCTATCTCAAAAAACCAAAAAAAGACAGGAAAAAAAAAAAAAAAAGGCAGGCTGAGCAGGCCAGTGAGCAGCATCCTCCACGGCCTCTGCATCAGCTCCTGCCTCAGGATCCTGCCCTGTGTGAGTTCCTGCCCTGACTTCCTTCAGTGGTGACTATGATGTGGAAGTGTAAGCCAAATTAACCCTCTCTGCTCCAACTTGCTCTTGGTCATGGTGTTTCATCACAGCAATAGTAACCCTAAGACAATGACTTAGTAGTTAAAGGCACTTGCCACCAACCCTGGCAGTCTGAGTTCAATTCCCACATGGTGTAAGGAGAGAACAGATTCTCAGATTGTCTTCTGACTTCCATGTGTACCAACAGGAATTACACACACACACACACACACACACACACACACACACACACACACACACACCAATAAAATGCAACACAAATAAAATACAATTAAAAAGAAATTAGGACTGGAAAGATGACTCAAGCGTGGAGAGCATGGACTGCTCTTCCAGAGGACCCGGGTTCAAGTCCCAGCACCCACAAATAGGCTCGCAACTACTTATAATGGGATCTGATGCCCTCTTCTGGTGTGCAGGCATACATGCAGATGGAGCACTCCATAAAATACATAAGTAAATAAATCTTTAAAAAAAAAAGGGGGGGGAGGACAAATTATGGAGGCTGGAGAGACCTCAGTGGTTAAAAGCACTGGCTCCTCTTCCAGAGGACCCATGTTAAATTCCCAGGATCCGCATGGCAGCTCATAACCACGTGCAATGCCAGACCCAGAGGATAAGAACCCTCTTCTGGCTGGGCGGTAGTGGCACACTCCTGTAATCCAGGCACTTGGGAGGCAGAGGCAGGCTGATCACTGAGTTTGAGGCCAGCTTGGTCTACAGAGTGAGTTCCAGGGCAGCCAGGGCTACACAGAGAAACCCTGTCTCAAAAAAACAAAAAAGAGCCAGGCGGTGGTGGCGCACACCTTTAATCCCAGCACTCAGGAGGCAGAGGCAGGCGGGTCTTTGTGAGTTCGAGGCCAGCCTGGGCTACAGATTGAGTTTCAGGATAGGCTCCAAAACTACGCAGAGAAACCCTGTCTCAGAAAAACAAAAAACAAAAAAGAACCCTCTTCTGGCCTCTTTGGGCATTGCACACATATGGTGCACATTCAATACATGCAGGCAAAATACCCATACACATAAAACAATAAATGAGTGAATGAAAATACCCATACACATAAAACAATAAATGAATAAATGAATGAATGAATGAAAATACCCATACACATAAAACAATAATTAAATAAATGAATGAAAATACCCATACACATAAAACAATAAATGAATGAATGAATAAATAAATACTAATTTTGGAAGAGCTATTTTAAAGGTTGTTTCTCTGTGGCTAGGATTGGCACTGGAGCACTAAGATGCATACCTAGAGCTGCTGGGCAGGGTTTTGCCACTGTGTAGGGAAAGGTGTCCTTAAAATAAGTCAGGGAAGGAGGGCAAGATGACATGGAGTTCCTGCCCTTTGGGTTTTTGTTTGTTTGAGACAGGCTGTTACTATGTACACCTTTCATTTTTCAGTTCTAGCCATGTCTGAATTCACTTCAGTGAACCAGCAAAGCCCTTTTGTGGGTGAATCCAATTTCTTTTTCCTTTCTTTCCTTTACATCCCACCTCTTTTTCCAAAAGGACTCAAGTGCCCCTGCAGCCCTCAAACTTGCTCTGTAGCAGAGGAAGACCTTGAACTCCTGATCCTCTTGCCTCTACCAGGATGACAGGCATGTGCCCCGTGCTGGGATGAGACCTGGGGCTTTGAGGATGCCTGGCAAGTGCTCCAGCAGTGCAGCCACATCCCACGCCAAGTTTGGTTTGAGACAAGACCTCACTATGTAGGCCTGGCTTGCCTGGAACTCTCTATGTCGACCAGACTGGCTCCGAACTTGCCTCTACTTCTGAGTGCTGGGATTAGAGGTGCGCCACAAAAAAAGCTAGTTCCAAGGGCAACCTGACTCAGCCATTGCTCAACGACCCCCCTGCCACAATGTAACAATATAAAGAGATTTCTGTTAAGAGGTCCGCTCAACTGTGACTGGGATAATTGCAAGTGTTCCAGGAAGGACCACTGTGACCTTTGTGTAACTCTCACTCCCGCCCTGACACCCTGTTGAGGTTTTGGGAGGAATGTGCATGCGGACGTGACTGTACCCCCTCTGTGGTCAGACCATGATCTTGAGAAATTAGCCTCTGGACATAAATCAATCAAAACGAAATTGTATGGGAATTGTAATCTTGTGGTTTTTGTGGGTTTTTCCTTTAAAAGTACCTATGTGGCTGCAGTGCGATGTGACTCTTGCCCTCAGGACAGGGGGAGCCCGACTGTACAGCCGCTTCTTCAATAAACCTCGTGCTGTTTGCATCAACTGGACCGGAGTCTGGGTTCTTGGGGCGCCCACTTGAGAAGGTAGAACCCTGGATTTGGGGTCTATCACCACCAAGCCTAGCTCCCATGTCGTTGTCTTTCTTAATTAATTGGTGGTTATTTGTTTATGTGTTTGGGTGTTTTGCCTGCATGTGTCTGTGCACCACTTGCATGCGATGCCAGTGGAGGCCAGAAGAGGGCAGTGGGTCTCCTGGGGTTGGAGTTACAGGTGGTTGTAAGCGGCCATGTAGGCCCTAGGAACTGAACCCAGGTCTTCTGGAAGAGCAGCCAGTGCTCCAGTGAATGATCAAACACACTGTTCTGGGAATGGAAAAGCTACAATAGCACACGAGAAGAAAAAAAGACAATATGGATATGATAAGATAAAGAGGGAGATTATTGAATCTACTTTTAAAAAGGAACTACTTGTTTTAAATAGGGTAAGTAAAGAAAATTTTTTGTCTGAATTTGTCAAATGTTAATGGACTGGACATTGTTAATATATATAATGGAGTTTTTTGTCTGAATCCGTCAAATGTTAATGGACTAGACATTGTTAATGTAATTCTTGACTGTATATATTGTATATACTTATTGGATATAGTTTTTCTTGTATTAGTTATAAGCTTTTTTAATTTTAGACAAAAAAGGGGAAATGTGGTATTGTGTTCCCAAAATATTGTGCATCCTAATAAACTTATCTGGGGTCAGAGAACAAGAACAGCCATAATATTAAACATAGAGGTTAGGCAGTGGTAGCACACGCCTTTAATCCTAGCATTCTAGGGCAGAGATCCATCTGGATCTCTGTGAGTTCAAAGCCACACTGGAAACAGCCAGGCATGGTGACTCATGCCTTTAATCCCAGGAAGTGATGGCAGAAAGCAGAAAGGTATATAAGGCGTAAGGACCAGGAACTAGAGTTGGTTAAGCTTTTAGGCTTTTGAGCAGCAGTTCAGCTGAGATCCATTTGGATGAGGACACAGAGGCTTCCAGTCTGAGGAAACAGGATCAGCTGAGGAAATGGTGAGGCTGAGGAGGCTGTGGCTTGTTCTGCTTCTCTGATCTTCCAGCATTCACCCCGATACCTGGCTTCAGGTTTAATTTTATTATAAGACCTGTTAAGATTCGTGCTACAGTCAGCTGAATTCCTGCTTCATATTTCTGTGGCCCACAGCAAACACAGATATGAGGCCTCCCAGGGCTCCTGCTTAGTCAGATCAACAGCTGATGTCTGCTGTGGCCCACTGCTTCCTACAGGATTACCTCCCTGCCACACTGCACATGTTCTTCCTTTCACTGAGCTTCTGCCTTCCTGAGGTCTCCCACAAACACACAAATGCAAGTTCCAGCCCCAGGGCCTCTGCTCACCATTTTCCCGGTGTAAGTGCTGGGTATCTATCAGGTGGCCATTTCCCTGCTGTAGGTTCTAGGCATCTGTCAGGTGGCCATTTCCCTGCTGTAAGTGCTGGGCATCTGTCAGGTGACCATTTCCCTGCTGTAGGTGCTGGGCATCTGTCAGGTGACCATTTCCCTGCTGTAGGTGCTGGGCATCTGTCAGGTGACCATTTCCCTGCTGTAAGTGCTGGGCATCTGTCAGGTGACCATTTCCCTGCTGTAGGTGCTGGGCATCTGTCAGGTGGCCATTTCCCTGCTGTAAGTGCTGGGCATCTGTCAGGTGGCCATTTCCCTGCTGTAGGTTCTAGGCATCTGTCAGGTGGCCATTTCCCTGCTGTAAGTGCTGGGCATCTGTCAGGTGGCCATTTCCCTGCTGTAGGTGCTGGGCATCTGTCAGGTGGCCATTTCCCTGCTGTAGGTGCTGGGCATCTGTCAGGTGGCCGCTTCTCTTCCTTCAGATCTACTTATCTGTAGACTTGGACTTGCACCAAAGCATCTCAGGGAGGGAGAGGGCAGCATGATGGGGTTCTGCATTGGGGTCTTACCTGGAAAGGAGACCTGCACTGACTGGCTGAGGCCCGACAGCTGGGGCTGGCTGTGCTCACCCATCACGCCATACTGACAGCGGAAGTCACCCCCAGCAGCCTCACTGCCACCACCAGTCACATTGAATGTCACGCCGGGCTGATCTGAGGGGGCCTGCAGGAGCTGGACTGCCTCTTCCCCTCGGAACAGGGTGAAATTGGCCCCTAGGAAGTCCTCTGGGGCTGTACATGAGATGTAGATGGCATCATCTTGGCTGCTTGGGTAGGGGGGCACCAGGAAAATGGATGGTGCAGGAATGGCCAAGGAGCCTGTAATGAAGAAGGACAGCTTGAGCTGGCAGTGTTCTTGGGACCAGATCACCTACTCCATGTAGGTGATCTACGTGCGTGTGCGTGTGCGCATGTGTGTGCGTGCGCGTGCGCGTGTGCACCTGAGCCTGCACATGTGGCTGGGGATCAAGCCGTCCTAACCTTCTGTTGGTCTACACCTCCAGTACCTGAGCCTTGGCGTTTGTAACAGGACACTGGTGGTGACCCTTACTCACACTGTTTAGGAAACTGGGTGCCTGGCACATTGGATACAATGGCACTCACGTGTCATTGTTTAAGACATTTTATCGACAGTGGCAGTGATTAGTATACAACAATAGAGTGATGCTCACTCAACAGTACTATGCATCAGAGCCTGCTGTGGTTGCTAGGGACAAGGCAATGGACTACAGAAATGAACAGAAGCTAGGGCTGGAGAGACGGTTCAGCGGTTAAGAGCACTGGCCGCTCTTCCACAGGACCTGGGTGTGATTCCAAGCACCCACATGGCAGATCATAACTCGGTCTGTAACTCAGGTCCAAAGGGATTTGGCGCCCTCTTCTGGCCTCCACCGGCACCAGGCATGCACACAGTGCCCAGACATACAAGTACACCAGACATACAAGTACACCAGGCATGCACACAGTGCCCAGACATACAAGTACACAAACCACCCATACACAGAAAATAAAATGAAGGCAGAAAAGAAATAAACAGAAGTGCTGACCTCAGGAAAGTACAAGAGGAGTGCTGGGTAGTGCTTGTGAACTAGGGTGACCTCAGAGGACTTCCCAGAAGAGGTGACATATAATCTGAGCCCTGCTTGTGGAGAAAGACCACTGTGAAGATTAGGGAAGAACCTTCCAGCCTGAGGAAATGCTGTAGGAAGAAGCCCAGACAGTGGATGGGGCACACCGATGAGCTGGGGGTGTGGCTGCATGGTAGAGCCCCCTACCTAGAGTTCCCCAGTGAGGGGCTGGAGTGTGGCTCAGTGCTTCTGCCATGGGTGAGGCCCTGGATTCATCCACAAGACCAGAAAAGAAAACCCAAGAGGTGAGGGAGGTCATGTTGGTTGGAAAAGGGTGAGTAAAGGAGAGTAAACTGGGAGGGCAGAGGAATCCACCTCACTCCTTGGTGTTGTGGGAGGGGTGGAGTGAGTTCTGTAGGAAGCAGCCTCGAAAGGGACCAGTCTTGCCTAGCTGTCACAACTTCCTGACCAGAAAGTCAGAGGCAATCCATTTTGTCTTTTTTTTTTTTCCATTTTGTCTTTTTAAAATTTATATTCTGTGTATGAGTGATTTGCTTGCATGTATGTCTGGGCAATATGTGGGTATCTGGTTCCTGTGGAGCCCAGAAAAGGGTGTCAAATCCCTTTGGACCTGAGTTACAGAAAGTTGTGTTCTGCCGTGTGGGTGCTGGGAATTGAACCCAGGTTCTTTGGAAGAGCGGCCAGTGCTCTTAACTGCTGAGTCATCTCTCCAGCTCTTTGCTTTGTCTTTTTTTTTTAAATTAAATTTTCATTCATTTTGTGTGTGTGTGTGTGTGTGTGTGTGTGTGTGTGTGTGTGTGTGTGTAAAACAGAGGACAACTTGCAGGAGTTGGGTCTCTCCTTCCACTATGTGAATGCCAGGGATCAAACTCAGGTCCTCAGGCTTGGCAGCAAGTGCCCTCCCCACCCCGTCACACCAGCCCCTCTTTAAACAAACAGACAGACAGACAGAGCCACATACATCCCAGGCAGGCACTCCTGTGTTATGCCCCTCGGCTTTGAGCAGGATGCCTGCAGACAAACTCCACAGAACTTCTGAGCTAACCTCTCCTGACATCCCACTTTTCCGAGTCCCTTTCTCTGAGTGCCACAGTCCTGGCGGCCAAGGGGGCTGAGTCACGGACAGTGGCACTGCTCCTGGGGTAATATTTCTAGAAAACTTGGCTCGAAGGAGATGAGAAAGCTCAGGCTGGTGTTTCCCAGGCTGCCTCCGTGGGGACCCGACTCATCTACCAACTGGAGAGAGCAGCCCCACTGTGCTTTCTGCCCCAGAGGGCAGCATGGTGGACAGGGGAGGGGCAGCTGGGTGCTTCCCCCAAGGGCAAGCTTCAGACTCACCAGATGCAAACAGCAGAATGGTCCAGGGCATCTCTCCTCCCATGTAGGGCTGGGAAAGCTGGCTGAGGCCACGAGGATCTGGGGCTCCCTGCCAGCCCTGAGACCACAGTGGAGAAAGGAGAAGCGAGGGTTGGTTTACTGTTTCCCCGGTGGCAGGAAGTTGCACACACGCTTGGGCACCAAAAGTGATTCTCTCGTGTCCCCACCCCTTCCCCAAACACACAGTCACCCCGCCACTGCTCGTCAGCCTCTCTGGCTACAGTTCTGTACACTGCCGGGGAAAATGTTTCCTCCCTCCAACCTCAAGAACTTCGGTAGTGTCGGTGGGCTAAGAGGAAGCCTCCACCCGTGACACACCGGCCGGTGGCAGAACCCAATGATGTGGTGGCATCGAGGGGTCAGCCTGAGTGTCCGCAGGCAAGATCTGACTGAGTACTGGGATGTCTCAGTTAGCTGCTGTAGAGGGTGCGAGCAGGGATATTAATTAGATCAAGGAACCACAGCAAGTGCCGTGGTTTCATCAAGGGCCTGGCTCCTGAGAACGCTTGCCTAGGATCCCCAGTGAGGGCTGGGGCAAGGCTCCCCGGAGAGTGCTGCTCCAGCTTTCAGGAGCCCCGTGGTTTGCAGCTTTGGATAAAGGCCTCAAGGCTTCCCCAGCTGTTTGAAGGAACAACAGATGGAGAAAATTCCTGTTAAATCCATACACTTGTAAGTTAATGATACATTTTATTTAGTTTCCCATTCAATCCTACAATGTGTCTTAAAGTCTACACTAGGGGGCAGCTTTTGATCACTGTAGTGTTTTAAGGGAAACTGTCCCCACAGACTATGGCATTATTTGGGAGGTTCCGGAAGCAGGCCTTGCTGAGAGTTCAGACGCCTGCGTTCCCATTTTGCTCTTGGTTCCTGTTTGTGGTTCGAGCTGCTACATGAGCTGCCTCCACTCTGTCATGGATTCTACCTCTGGAACCATACGCCCAAATAAACCCTACCTTCTGTGAGTTGTCTATCACAGCCGCAGCGAAGTAACTAATACAGTCACCAGGAAAAAGCAGCTGGTCCTGGGCTGGAGAGATCCCGTGGTTAGGAACACTAGCCGTTCCTCCAAAGGACCTAGGATTGATTACCAGCACCCATGTGGCTGCTCATAACCAGGAACAACTCTAGTTCCAGGAGATCCAGTGCCCTCTTCTGGATTCTTGGGCACTACACACAGGTTGTACATGCAGGCAAAACACTCATGAAACAAATACATCTGAAAAAGAAGCACCTCCCAGACTCGAGAAGCCTGGGCTACATGCTGACCCAGACAAGAGAGACCCTCTATCTTTCTCTCCCTCTCTTATTTTATTTTATTTCTGAGACAGGGTTCTCTGTGTATCTCTGGCTATACAGCCGAGATTGTATCTCAAAAAAACAAAACAAAACAAAACAAAAACTACTTACCAGGCATAATGATGCACACCTTTAATCCCAGCACTGGAGAGGCAGAGGCAGATGGGTCTCTGTTTGATGCCAGCCTGGTCTACAGAGTGAGTTCCAGGATATCCAGGGCCATACAGAAAAACCAAAATAAAATTAAAAGTTAAAAAAAGAAGAAGAAAGAAACCCTAACTAAGACAGTTGCTCTGTGTGTAGCCCTGCCTGTCCTGGAACTCACTCTGTAGACCAGGCTGGCCTCAAACTCAGAGATCTGCCCACCTCTGCCTCCTGAGTGCTAGGACTAAAGGTGTGCACCACCACCGCCCAGTAGATTCTTTTTCTTTTGTTTTTTGTTTGTTTGTTTGTTTGGTTTTTTTTTTTTTTTTTTTTTTTTTTTTTTTTTTTTTTTTTTTTTTTGTTTTTCGAGACAGGGTTTCTCTGTAGCTTTGCGCCTTTCCTGGATCTCGCTCTGTAGCCCAGGCTGGCCTCGAACTCACAGAGATCCACCTGCCTCTGCCTCCCAAGTGCTGGGATTAAAGGCGTGCGCCACCTCCGCCCGGCTCACCCAGTAGATTCTTAATTCAAACTAGTGAATGGTCAATGTGGAGTCTTTAAGGGACTCTCAAACCTCCCTCTGAAGCATCACAAGCCAGGCCTCCATCCTCTGCACCGCTGTCAACACTTTCACCTTCCAAGATCCCATAGAACATTCCACTGAGTTCTTACCACTCAACGGCTTTTCCAGCCAAACTTCAAATATCACCACAATCCTCCGAAAAACACATGGTCAGGTTTCTCCTAGCAACACCCCGCTCCTGGTACCAATTTCTGTCTTTGTTAGGTTTCTAATGCTGTGTGTGATGAAACACCATGACCAAGGCAACTTGGGTCACAAAGGGTTTGTTTCACATCCACTCTCACATCACAGTTAAATGTCAAAGAAGTCAGGCAGGAACTGGAGAAGGAGCTGATGCAGAGCCCATGGAGGATGCTGCTCACTGGCTTGCTCCTCATGGCTTGTCCAGTCTGCTTTCCAGGACCACAATCCCAGGGGTGACACTGTCCACAGTGTGCTGCCCCCCCCAATCAATCGTCAAGAAAATGTACCACAGGCTTGCCCATAGGCCAGTCCAGTTTGGGTATTTTCTTATCGAGGTTCCATCTTCCAAAGTGACTAGCTTGTGTCAAGTTGACATCAAACTAACCAGCAGACCTATCATCTCAGCACTCAGGAAGTGAAGGCACAAGTTTCAGGAGTTCAAGATCAGCCTCTAGATCAGTGGTTCTCAACTTTCCTAACGCTGTAACACTTTACAGTTCCTCGTGTTGTAGTGACCCCCAACAATAAAATTATTTTTGTTGCTACCTCAGAACTGTGGTTTTGCTACTGTTATGAATTGTAATGTAAATATCTGACATGTAGAATATCTGATATGCAAGCCCTGTGAAAGACTCATTCAACCGTCAAGGGGTCTTGACCCACAGGTTGAGAAGCAGTGCTCTAGATCGTGAATTCAAGGGCAGCCTGGACTACGTGAAACCCGGCTTCAGCAAACAAAAGTCACAAGGGACAGTGGGGGAATTTAGCAAAGCGAGGAGCCCAGAAGAGCTAGGCAAGCTCTCCAGAAGACGAGGATTGAACCCCTGACAGGACTATATCCGCTAAGTGGTTCAGTCACAGACTCTGAGGTCACAGAGAACTTTGTGTGTCCAAAGCAGGGGAAAAGCCCACTTTAGGAGGTCATGGTGGTATTCTCACATAATCCTGCACTGGAGAGGCAGAGGCAGATCTCTGTGAGTTCAAGGCCAGCCTGGTCTACACAAAAAGTTCCAGGTCAGCTATATAGTGAAACCCTGTCTCAAAAAAAGGGGGCAGGGTTTGGGGTGAGGTAGGGTGGGGTGGCTTCTGAGGCACCTCAGTGAGTGGAGTGCTTGCCCAGCATGCATGAAGCCCTGGGTCCATCCCCACCATGAATAAAATCAGCCTGGGGGTACCCACACATCATCCCAGCACTTGGGAGGTAGAGGCCAGGTGATCAGGAGTTCAAGGACATGCTTGGTTGGCTACTTAGTGAGTTGGAGACCAATCTGAACTGCATGAGACCCTGTCTCAAGAAAGAGCAAACAGGGGGCTGGAGAGATGGTTCAGAGGTTAAGAGCACTGGTTGCTCTTCCAGAGGTCCTGAGTTCAATTCCCAGCAACCACATGGCAGCTCACAACTGTCTGTAACTCCAGTTCCAGGGGCTCTGACATCCTCACACAGACATACATGCAGGCAAAACACCAATGCACATGAAATAAAAGTAAATAACTTAAAAAATGTAAAAAAAAAAAAAAAAAAAAGAGCAAACAGGCTGCACCTTGCCCTGAGGGTCACTTGAATGGTGTTTCAAACATACATGCACAGGCATAAAATGAGAGCAAATCTTAAAAACAATTTGAGATTGATTTCCTGTGTACAAGCATTTTGACTGTATGTGTGTCCTGCACCATGTGCATGTCCGGTGCTCACGCAGGTCAGCAGAGTTTGGCAGAGGGCTGACAAGCTGAGTTTGACCCCTAGACACCACAAGGTAGCAGAAAAGGGCCGACAAGAACTCTCCTCTCGCTCACGCCACTTGTGAGCCACGGTGAAATATGACACAAAGCAAAGCAGAATATTAGATATCATCACCTGACAGGATGTGGAACCACCTAGAAGAAACCTGGGCACACTGGTGAGGGAGCTGCCAGCTTTGGTGAACTGTGTGCAGCACTAACCCAAGGCTGAGGTCCTGCACTGCATAACAAGAAAGTCGCTCTCTCTTTCTGACTCGACTGTGATCCTCAGGCCCATGCCACCAAGCCTTCTCTGCTGGGATGCACTGAAGCCTGGACTGTAAGCCACAGAATATACATCCTCCTCAAACTGCTTCTGCTAGGCATTGGACCACAGCAACCTGAAAAGCAAGTGGGCAAGGGTGGTGGTGCATGCCTTTAATCCCAGCACTCAGCAGGCTGATCCCTGTGAGTTGGAGGCCAGCCTGGTCTACAGAGTGAGTTCCAGGACAACCAGGGCTACACAGAGAAATCCTGTCTCAACACCCCTACCTGCCACCCAGGAGAAAAAAAGAGGAAAGAAAAGAAAAGAAAAGGGACACAATATATAAAGAGCATTTAAGCATCAACAACAACAAAAACAATCCAAGTTTGAAATACACAAAAAATGTGAATAAATGTTTCTCTAAAGCATATATACAAAAGAGGAGAAAGGGGTGAATATTATCATGCTGAGTGCCTGTAATCCCAACACTTGAGAGAGCAAGAGGCCTTGAGAGGCCATTGTGTATAGCTGTGAAAGTGAAGCCTGAATGTTGTGTTGCCAAGGAGAGCTGCATACAGGGCATGGAACCAGCCCAAGACAGAGGTGTTATGTTGCAGGCATCAGAGCTGGAAGGGCAGGGCCATCTGAGTCCTCTGACATCAGACATGGGGCCACATGCTGCAAGCCAGGAAAATATAATGGAATCCAGCTACTATCACAAAAGCTGCTACTTGGAAAGCTCAAGGACTTTTCCAAAGGTCAAGCCATGGCTTAAGAAGTCTTGGTGATATTTTAGCTTTTGTATATATATTAGCTGTTTCCTACATGATTTTCTTATTTGCTTATATTCCAAGAACTCTTTTTTTTTTTTTTTTTTTTTTGGTTTTTCGAGAACTCGCTTTGGAGACCAGGCTGGCCTCGAACTCACAGAGATCCGCCTGGCTCTGCCTCCCAAGTGCTGGAATTAAAGGCTTGCGCCACCACCGCCCGGCATATTCCAAGAACTCTTAACAGTGTATTTATCT